GAGAAGCAGGAGGAGGAGGAGGAGGAAAAGAAGAAGAGGAGAGAAGGAGAAGAGAGGAGGAGGAGAAAAAGATGGGAATAAGAAGAGAAGGAGGAGAAGCAGGAGGAGGAGGAGGAGGAAAAGAAGAAGAGGAGGAGAGGAGGAGGAGGAGGAGGAGGAGAAAAAGATGGGAAAAAGAAGAAGAGAAGGAGGAGAAGCAGAAGGAGGAGGAGGAGGAAAAGAAGAAGAGGAGGAGAGGAGGAGGAGGAGGAGGAGGAGAAAAAGATGGGAAAAAGAAGAAGAGAAGGAGGAGAAGCAGAAGGGGGATAAGCAGAAGGAGGATGAGGAGGAGGAAAAGAAGAAGAGGAGAGAAGGAGAAGAGAGGAGGAGGAGAAAAAGATGGGAAAAAGAAGGAGAGAAAGAGGAGAAGCAGAAGGAGGAGGAGGAGGAAAAGAAGAAGAGGAGGAGAGGAGGAGGAGGAGGAGGAGGAGAAAAAGATGGGAAAAAGAAGAAGAGAAGGAGGAGAAGCAGAAGGGGGATAAGCAGAAGGAGGATGAGGAGGAGGAAAAGAAGAAGAGGAGAGAAGGAGAAGAGAGGAGGAGGAGAAAAAGATGGGAAAAAGAAGGAGAGAAAGAGGAGAAGCAGAAGGAGGAGGAGGAGGAAAAGAAGAAGAGGAGGAGAAATTGGGGGGAAATGAATTGCAGTGGGATCCAGATGCAACATTTCTTGGCCCTTGGAACCGAATACGACAATGTACAATGTAAGGACAATGCAACACAACTACCATGGTGTCGGATGAACAGGGAGAAAACTGGCAGAAGAACACAACCACGAACGCCAACTGGCCGTCCGAAGACATGTTGAAAAATCTTTCAATTTCACCCTGTGGTTCTGACTGAGGCTTCCTTAAAAAGCACAAAGCGGAGTCTTGGTCCCCGTCAAAACCTCTTTTCTTTACACGACTGTGAATTTCGTTCTTTCATTCACAGCCCACAAGGCTTAGCAAACAGCCTTTCAGAGGAATATTCATCCACACGAACCTTATCTCGCTTGGCCAGCTGCGAGCTCCCAGCTGCAGGGCGAGGCGAAACTTGGCACAGTTTTGCTCCTCCATTGGCAAACTCTCTTCCCTTCTAGCCCTGATGATGTTCCCTAGTTGGGTCATGAAACGTCCGCAAGAAAACCTCCACCAGGGACCCCCCCCCCTCACAAAATACCTTGTTGGCAAGTGGCACCAACCCATCCTGGTGCACACAGGCATCGCCCCGTGACAGGGTGGCACGAGGCTCCGTTGGCGCAGTGGCATTCCTGGGTGCAGTTCTCGCCGTAGCGGTCAGCTGGGCAAGCTGGAGAGAGAGAGAGAGAGAGAAAGAGAGAGAGGTGAGCCTGAGTTCGGATCCAGACAGACAAGGGAGATGCCCTATTTTCATGCCCGGCTGCCAGGAGACACACTTTGGTTGCAGTGTGGCCCAATCCAGCCCACGGCGCCGTGGCGGTGGCCCCTTATTTTCCATAGATCCATTTGAAAGGAGAAAGGTAGGTAAGAAGGGAAGTAAGGAAAATTTGAAAGGAGAAAGGTAGGTAAGAAGGGAAGTAAGGAAAGAGGAAAGAGAAAGAAAAAGAAAGAAAGAGGAAAGGAAAGAAAGAAAGAAAGAAAGAAAGAAAGAAAGAAAGAAAAAGAAAGAAAGAAAGAAAGAAAGAAAGAAAGAAAGAAAAGGAGGAGGTGGAGGAGAAGTAAGGAAAAGAGGGAAGGAAAGAGGATGAAAAAGAAGGGAAGGAGGGAAAGAAGGAAAGGAAGAAAGAAAAAAGAGACAAAAAGAAAAGAAAGAAAAAAAAGAAAAGGGAGAGAGGGAGGGAGAGGAGAAGTAAGGAAAAGAGGGAAGGAAAGAGGATGAAAAAGAAGGGAAGGAGGGAA